GTAAACCGCTTAGAGAGGGCTGAAAGCCCTATGAAGCGGTATATAAGTCTAACTGCTATTGCTATTGCTAAGAACCCAGTCAAACAAACCAGAGTTGGTTGGTTCACAGTGCCACAGACTCTGTCGAGGCCTGTGCCAACTTAGCAATGGAAGGCAATCAAATTCAGGCAACTACAGGTGGAAACACTTCCCTGACCACTGTCTGGAACAGAGAATATTATGCAGCTTGTGAGGCAACTGGTAGAGTTCTGTGTCACCTTCTACTACCCTGAAAAAGTCCTTCAGGGAAGCTACTGGGGCAACGTGGAACCAAATGCCCCAGAGTCTCTCTCTCTCTCTCTCTCTCTAGCTTAATTATTAAGTAATTATCATCACTAAACTTGATGGCGAGCTTTCACCCTCCCTGTCTGAGCTCTCCTCCCTGTCCTTATGTACCATCTGATCATCTTAACTATTTCAAGAAGTCCAGCTTTTTCAACGGCTCTGCTGTTTTTCCAATGGAGAGAGAAAGAGGCAGACTGTTTGCATAAGGGACAGGATGGGTTGGGCTGCAAGCAGCTCAAAATATACAAGACCGGCTTTCTTGGGACGTGTGTTTTATTTGGCAACGAGGGAGGACGTTTTAGACCTACCTGCACATAATCCACGCTTCTCCCCAGTGCTTTGAAGGCTGTGTACATGACTTCCCTTTTTCCACCCCATTTTTGCATGATGCAGACACTCTTGTTGGACAGGACCAGCTGAGTGACATGTTGCATGCTTTCTCTATGGGACTCTTCCGTCTCGTTGGGGCCTCTCTGATGAAAGTTATTCCTCCAGATGTAAGTCGCAGATTTATCCCTGCCCATGATTTCACTAAAGATGTCCATCATGTAAACATCATCTTCAGAATTCCCATCGATTACCATAATCAACTTAATTCCAGGGTAGGTGAGCCTCTTCACGGAAAGTAAACATTTCTTTAAGTAGTCTGGGTCTTCTTGGTAGGCAGCAATGCAAAGGGCAACAGTTTTGTTCAGCTTGATTGGCGTCTCGAGGGATCGGCGCATTTTACGGTGCTCCAGAAAGGCAAATAAGCTTTGGATGATAAGGTGGGATGCCAGAATAGCACCATAGAGCCCAAAGGAGAAATAATAGTTGTCTGTTTGGATAAACTGGTAGCCCACGATATAAGCAGCTGAAATTCCCAGCAGAAGAGATACTCCGAATAGGGTCGTTCCAAGAATTCTCAGGATGCATATAAACCTCTCACAATGCATCTGTAAAAACCAAAAAAAGAGAATTGTAAATACTGCTCTGTGGCTTAATAGAAGCACAAAGTGGGTTACTTAGTAAAACAACTGAGGGATCGGCTTCCCGCTTTGCAGTCTAGGATGGAAATAGTTGACCTAAAGACCAAGAATCTGAGATGCTTGTTAGAGTATTAATTAAAAAGAGGCTTAATGTTACAAAACAAGTATTCCAATGAGCAACACACACACACACACACACACACACACACACNCAACTCCATTTTGCAGAATTATATAAGTAATTATATAACTGGTTATAAGTAAATAGAAGCTAAGCAAAGCTGGATCTGAGCAAAAGCGCGCGAAAGCATTTGATATCAACACACAACCCATTCCCATCCCCTTGGTAACCCCAGTCCATAGTCCAATCCTATATCTCCACAACTGTCAGGTGGGAGACATCTTCAAAAATCATCATCAGGTTGGTATGCCGGACAGTTGGCCTTGGCGGGAAACTCCCCTCCTTCTACATGCGCAAACGAATGGTGTGAACAATCCCCATTTAACAGTCCTCCTGTACAGATTATTTCCCTCACCCAAATGCCATTTCCCCCCTCCCCATTTCAATGGCAGCTGAAAAACAAGCAGCAAAACAGTGGCTGGCATCCGGCCCTCCTTCAGAAAAAAGGACGATCACCTCTGCGAAAATGAAATAACACAGACAAACAGACGAACAACATAACATAGAAGAAAAAGGGACAGGGAAAGAAAAGAGAAATCAATCGAGGTCAAGGCTTGTCTGGGTAGGCAGAGTAGAATTTACGGAGAAGTCCCGGACAGTCAGAGGCTGACAAAGAGTGCAGAGAAGAGCAGCAAAGATGATTAGGGATCTGGAGACTAAAATATATGGAGAACGATTGCAGGGATTTGGAATGGCTAGTTTAGAGAAAAGAAGAACTAGGGATGGCTTGATAGCAGTGTTCCCCTCTGCCACGAAGAAGAGGAGGTCAAGCTATTTTCCAAAGCACCTGAAGGCCAGACAAGGAACAATGGAGGGAAACTGAACAAGGAGAGAAGCAATCTAGAACTAAATTTCCAAACAGTGAGAACAATAAACCAGTGGAATGGCTTGCTTCAGAAGTTCCATCACTGGAGGCTTTCAAAAAAAGATTGAACACTCATTTGTCCAGAATAGTATCAGGTCTCCTGCTTGGGCAAAGATTGGACGAGAAGCTCTCCAAGGTCCCTTCCAACTCTATAATTCTGCATTTTGTATTATGTGCACTGGGCCATTTTACACATTGTATTTATATGGATCTGGTTGTGTGCAGCTTTTAGTTGTTCATTGAGGTGTTGATGGCTGGCTATTAAAATTGACTGTCAATCGTTCTGACTTTGGAGCAGAGATAGCGACCTCATCATCCAAAAAGGGTACATTATGAACCTTTCTCTTATATCTTCTTTTCATCCCTTTTTAAAACCAATCTGTGAGAGAACTAATATAGAAAGGAGTTGGAGCATTTCTTAAGTCTCAGGCTTTAGATACAATACCATGCTGCCTCGAGCAAATGTAGCAGGACATGAAATAAACAGAGCCCCTCTCTCTATATATATATATATTCTGTACATCTTGTCATGCCCATATCATGTTGCCCTTGTTCATGACAGAGCATAGTCTGAAGCCTACTGTTTATACTTCCTATCAATTTTGCCACTCTTTTGTAAATTAGGAGGCAGGAGGAAGCCAAGGAAAGGCTCTGCGGGGAGCTGCACTTTGTTCCAGATGGTTCTTGGGGAATCTGAGATCTTCATCCTGAACTTCATCCATTTCGTGTCAAGCTGAAGAAGCAGGAAACGCAAAGGGACCGACAAGGCGAAGCTGAAGGAGATTATTATACTCAGTGGTGTATTTGTTCCATAAGTGAGATCTATTTTATTAAGAAAGTGAAGTGACCTCTTGCTGTTGCTCTGTCAATCAACCAAAGGCCTCCTGTCCTTCTTAACCAGTCGCCCTTGTATCAGCTTCTGTACGGGCACACAGTGTAGGATTCTTCTTGTTGCTTAATACGTACTAAAAGACGTATTAAATGTGGTTTTTAAACTGCCAGGACGGTCCCCAAATTCTGGAGGACGTCTACAAGGTAGGAAAGCATGAAATGACGGTTCATCGCACGGTCACACAGATGTTCAGATTTGGCATTTTTGTCTACCTGTGGATCCTTTTGTCTATCCTAAGCACCTGGAAGAGGCAAGGGTGGATGTTTGATGGTGTTAAAGGTTTTGTCGCATGGGGTAAGCTAAGGGTGTTAAGCTCGATTTCATGGGGGGGGGAAACGCATCAGAGTTGTGTTTGAGCCAAGGTGGCGCAGTGGTTAAAAGCAGCACTGCAGGCTACTGCTAGATCAGCAGGTCAGCGGTTCAAATCTCACCGGCTCAGGGTTGACTCAGCCTTCCATCCTTCCGAGGTGGGTAAAATNGATTTGGGTAACTTTGCTCGCATCTTGGTATTTAGGCGGGATATTGTAAAGCTTCTGTATGCCTCTCAGCACAAATTACAATTTCAAGCTGGCCTTTTTATTTTTTCCAATGTGAGTTTCAGCGTCTCCATTGTTCTGTGCAGGGAAATATGATCTCTTATTAGAATGTGTAGCCAACCTCATTTATCTTATGTGATTCCGCTATGGAAATGCATTCAGTGGAGGTGCCGGGGTCTACGTTGGGAGGGATTGAGGATTGAGTGATCAATGGATTGCTTGTTTAAAGAGGAGGAGGAAAAAAATTAAACCTAATTGATAGTGTGTCACCAAGAATAGTCAAAAAGAAAAGAAAAGGAAATCAGAAAACCAAGGGGAGGGAGGCAATCAAGCTGAAAATCACAAGGAAGAAAAGGAGGGGAAAAAAAGAGAAGGGTGCTCTGAAAAGATTATTACTTAGTCTGTGGCACATCAACTCGATAACTGTAGGGAGGAACCGAGAAACAATAAATGTAATATAAAAAGACAAAATTGGTAATAAGCAGCAGCATGGAGAAAGTATCTTCTGGTGTATAGCATTTCAAATTATCTTTAATGTACTAAACAATTTCTGCCACAGCTTTGCTCTTTAAATCCCAATGCTTGCTTGAATATTTCCTAATGAAAAGGCGATGGATGAAAAAAAAATGTGTTTTATTTCTTTTTCTTTTCCTTTCAGCGTTTTTGGTTCTTCTATAATCAACCACTGAGCAGCCAGGTCCTTTCATGTGAGATCCATATTTATGCAGGGTGTACATCTCAAATGAGAATCTTTTCCATTGTGCGATGCTACGGAATACAACAGTGGAAACTGGGTGGATGTGGAAAACAAATTGGCATTTAAAGGAATGCAGAAAACTCCAAATGGCCATTAGACCCAGAAGGAAGGAACACTATTTGGGCTCCGTCTTGCATGGCCGAATGGAGTTAGTTATCTCAAGCAAATCCCTATCAGTTTTCACTCATTTTTATGGGTGAAAATTGGATTTAGAATGTGAAAATTCTGAGGAGGTACTCATAAGGGGGGTGGAAATGTTCTTATATTTCCTTAGGCTGAAGACAGAAAGAATTTCAGATGACACTTTCTTTCATTGTCCCCATCTTTCTCCAAAAGCATGATCTTCATCCTGTCAGTTAACCTCACAAGAAAACTTTGTAAGGTTCTTTCTTTCTGGACCATATCGTCCTCCCAGTCATTGCTAAGGTAGCAATCTGTCTTGAGAAACTTTTCTGCTCAAACAAGTTTGGAAACATCACAAAATGTGTGATTGGTTCCAAAACACGACCCTCGTGTCAACTCACAAAGCATCCCTGGCCTGGTCTCGAGTTGCCATAGGCAAGGGGGATAGGAAACTGACGAAGGCAGCACAGCAGCTACAAACTGAAGCACATTCCAGGCAAATCTTTCTCAAGGCTATCTCCCAGGTTACCCACAGCAGCCCAAGGGGGAGTGATCTCTACAGCCCGTGAAAGTGCTTCGTTGGTGAATGTGATTTATGACACACCCTGGGGGGAGGGAGGAAACAGGGTCATAATCGGGCTGAAAATTAGGTGCGGTCAGAGTTGGCTTCACTTGGGTACGTGCCGACATGTTGCTTCTAATAAATAACTGGATTTCTTTTGAAGCTTGGCTCAATCCTCATGATATAATTAGGGCATCGGTCAGAATCCCAAAACCTTGGATGAGATTACTTTAAAAATGTGTCCATCTGTCTTGTTTGGAGCTAAATTTAATCCTTGGCGGTTACTTTACTGTGTAAATAGACACTGTTCTGATGGTCCCGCAACTGAGTTACAGTTGATTCAACTCATTCATCCAGTTAATGAGAATAATGTTATTTCTCCCTGATAACAAGCCGTCCCAAACCTGAGGGGTCCTAGGCAACCTCGGTCTGCTCTTCTCCACATTCCTCTGAAGCCAACAAAGCCACCCCCTTGATTTCTGTTGACTCCAGATCCAATTCATCCTCCTCCACGGATTCAGGCTCTGACAGGGGCATGACGAAAACCCTTCATGGCATATCTGGTTATATATCAGGCATAAGGCACCAAAGCCACTTGTAAGTAAATAAAGTAAGCCACTTTATTGCCTTCTACCTATGTTACAAGAATCTCCACAGACTGCTTGACTTCCCCTGAGAATGGCAAAATAATGATTCGTGGATCTTGGGGAAGGTCAAGCTTATGCTGCTTGTGACTGTGTAATGATTCCAAGCTAGATCCTTATTTGACCTCCTCTTTCCAGACTAGCTTGCAGTCTCCCAAATGTTGTGGTCTGCCAGCGGCCAGTGGAGCTGGCAGCAGAGTCAGACAATGAGAAGGTTGGGGAGGAGCATGGGCCAGTCCTGGAGGCTGGGGAAGGCTCAGACAAGGGCTCTGCATTGGAGGCAGAGAGGGGGTTAAGGCCATCTGGCAGTGATCAACTGCCTTTGGAGCTAGACAGCAGTAAAGCAGAAGAACAGCTGGAGCCTGTTCCAAATTTGCGCATGCGCAGAGCTGCCAGAAGAAAAGAAC